GTGTGTGTGTGTGTGTGTGTGTGTGTGTGTGTGTGTGTGTGTGTGTGTGTGTGTGTGTGTGGTGGGCTTAGGTCAGATAACACATAAAGGGCAGGTAAAATGGGGCGGGTTCAGAGGAGTAGGTGACGTGGGGGGGGGTATGTGCTAGGCCCAGCCCTGGGCCCATCCAGAGTCCAGAGTCACATGATGTTATTGCCTCTAACTCAGTTCGCTAGAGTTCAGAGATTTTCCTCCTCCTCAGCCAGTTGAGTTCCACGGCCGGGTCCAACACAGGTGATGAGGGTGGGAGCAGATCCAGCTCTTTGTTGACATTCCATCCTGGGGAGGTTGAGATAAACACTGCCCTCAAGGCCGTGCCGCTGGGAGCCAGATAGATAGTCCAATTGTTTTGGAACAAAGCAGCCTTGAATTTCCTGCTGCTTTTGATGCGTCTTTACTGCAAACTGAGGTGGCAAAAAAAAGCCAATCAGCAGAATTTGGGGTCATTCCTTGCCTCTCACTGATTGAAGCTCACCCAGATGTAGTCCGTACATGCCGAAGGGTCGCTCCTGTGATCCTCGTCAGAATCACATCCAGTCTGCATTTTTTTTCTCCCAGCTGAGAGTCTGTGTGCTTCCACCCCAGCAGAATCCTTCAAGTTGTTTGTATAGTTATAGTCTCTAGAAGTCTCTCTAGGTTTTACTGGAACATTTGGAAAGATGTCTGTACTTTCTAACAGTAAAGTAAAGTAAAGTAAAGGTGCTCTATTTGTCATCAGTGTATGTTTCCACACAATGACGAAATTTGTGCTCTGCATTTAACCCATCCACACCCAAGTGGAGCAGCGGGCAGCCATGTGAGGCGCCCAGGGAGCAGTTAGGGTTAGGTGTCTTGCTCAAGGACACCACGACATGTGGGTATGGCAGGGAGTCGAACCTAAGACTTTCGGGTCCCAAGCCGGCTGCCCTACCACTACACCACAGTCTCATGCTGTGTTTCAGTTGTCCTCGGAGATTGGAGCTTTGCACTTCTAATCAGAAAAATTAACCAGAATGACCCATAGTGTCATAATTTCAAGTGGGTAAGTTGGTGCAACACGACCACATGTTGTAATTATTTCAGCATGGCTGCTCCTTGCATCAACAGAAAGTGAAACTCTTTATTTTTACAGTTTTTAGCAGTTCTGTGTTGTTTACTTCATATTGTCAGTCATACTTGTACTTTATTGCAAATATCTTTTAACGCGGTTCGCACACTCAAAATGATGTGTAGCAGCTATTGTTAGTCAGTTTGAAGTTCATGACAATATGAACTCAGCTCATGAACAGGTTTAGAAGATGGAAGAACACTGATGAGGGAACGAGGAGATAAGAAGCCAAAACCCTGCAGTGGTGTAACATCTCACGCTCTACTTATCTTCAGGTAAACAAGAAGTGTGGATTTTTTGAATTAGCAATCAGTCACATAATAAAATGGTAGCTGTTATTTTATAACATGCCACTGTAATCTAGTGAAATCAGGTGAATTACCAAACAGCATCATTTAAAATCCCTAAAAATTGTTAAAATAAGCTTATTATTTCCTGCTGTGCTCACCTGTGTGTGCTTTCATTCTTTAGCAAAGCTTTAGCCTGCTGCTCACTAACAATGACCGCCTTGACCTGCGGGGGGTTCATGTGGACGTTGAGCTTCCCGCCCACCAGAAGACGGACTGTGGCTGCAAACTTGGTCTGGGTCTTTAACACCTGGGGGGGCTGTTTTTCTATTATAAAGGTGCTGGAAGAGAAGGAGACAGAAGTTACACTTTAATTATTACAGCTTAGTGCGTTTAGACAAAAAAAATTAGCAAAATGTAAATAAAAAAAGCTCAAGAAAAATAAGTTAAAACTGTGATTAAATTTGTTACATAATACTTATATAAATATAATATTACTATATGTTAACATATAACAAAAAATATTAATAGCTGTATGTCTGGCCTTTCATTATCCTGCAGTAAATTGACTAGAAAGACTATAACCACACAAGTCACCTGTCCACCTGCTTTCCCTCTGCTGAAGCCTTTGGTAACGAGTTAGCTCACTCCACTCCTGCAACATGTCAGGCTGCTTTCGTTACTTTCACACTCAATTATTCAAGCGCATTAACTACAAGTGTAACATTAACAACCAACACAAACAGACCCTGTCCTTCACTGTGCGTCGGTCTGGACTCTCAGCTATCGAGAAGTGATTCTTGCTGGAGGCATGGCCTCTGTTAAAGTTTAAAACACTTGGATGGGTTGGCCGTGACATTTGTGCACCAGTTCCACTGTGAAGGAGGCTAAGCTAAGAAGCTAACAGAAATCATGTGTGCTGTAAACAACCCTCCTGAGAGGAGAAATATACGGAGCTGAACGAGACGACTGTAAATGAGAGCTGCTGCTTTGTCAGACTAATTTATTTTAATTTGAAGCTTTATTAAAATCAGTATGACAGTCTGACACTTCTTGTTAAAACTAAAGACAGCTGGATTGTTTTGTGTATTTCAGTAATGTTCTGTAAGGCCGCCTCAGTGACAACAGGTGATGTTTGTCCCACCTGGTGACCAGGGCAGAGATGATGTCGGTAATGTCAGAGTTGAGTTTGTTCAACAGCTCTTCCATGGGGCCAGGTAAAGGAAGCTGCTGCGTCAGGTGCTCACAGCGCCGAATCTGCTGCCGGTTCTGCCAGATGAGGTCAGCCAGCTTCTCACACCTGAGGAACCGTAAAGACAGGTGAAGCAGGTGAGCGCTGAAAAGAAAGACCAACTTTTGCCCTCTACCTGTCCAAGATACTGTTGAAAATTTACAAGTGAAAGAGTGAATGTACCAGGACTGGAGGACATCCAGCCCCCCCTCATGTGGACCCCCAATGCCAGCCAGCTGCTGTCTCCTTTTCCACTGAATGAGCTCCTCGTCCAGGATGAGCGTCTGCTGCTTCCTCAGCAGGCCCAGAGTTTTTTGATGCTGTTCTGACAGGTCCTGTCAACAATAAGACAAACATGTCAAGCTCACCTCATCAACCAAACAACGATTCAAGATGAAACAGGTTGGAGAGAAACGAGACGCACTGTTGCAACATTCTATCCAATAAGATGGAAACGGTTCAACATGTCGCAGCATGCAGCTGGTGGAAACTGCTTCAGACTGAAACTGGAATATTTATCATTCAGGACGTTCCCCCCAGCACCACATACCTGCACAAACAGGTATGTGGAGCTGGGGGGAGGAGAGCAGACACTCCTGCTGCAGCACCACAACAAACAGCAACAAACATTAAAAATGTGCTTCACCCTGATCACAATTATTCCACGACAAAATGAACTTCTTTTATCATTTACAATAAAATGTTTGTTTTTATCCTCACTGCTCAGAACGTGATGCTGTGTGCTTTGTGTACTTTTTAACAGAGTCAGTTTTAAGGAAGGTACATTGTAACCCAGCCTGGTTAAAAAGAGAAATATTGACCAATTGAAATCTATTATAAACACAACTCTTTTCAGATATGTTTTCTCCACATCGATCCAGCTAAATTATTCCATCTGATGCTCAATGTTGAAAAATATATTTTGTGTCCTAAATAAAACTGAATTGTAGAGTTTTGTAAAATTAAGAAGAGTTAAAATCAAAGGCAGTCAATTAAATTAGTTATTTTTATTATTTTAGGCAGAAGTGGCTTTGACAGACTGACTTGTTTATTGTGGACAAAATATTAATAAATAGTATATTTTCAAAGCCATGAAAGGTAACAATTAGTCATAAATTTAAAGGACCTTTAGAGGGTCAAACACATCCCTGATGTTACATTACTGTGAAAATGTGTTGGAAACAATCAACACCTCTTCTTCTCCATTAGCTCATTAGGCTGATTAAAAACTGTGTATATTAAAGAACTAAAAATGTGACTAAAGTGGCTCTAAAGTGATCGGATGTTCAGCTCATGCTCTAAGCTGTCGACTTGTGACTGATTCAGCTCATGTTGGTGTCATGTTCCAACAGGGCCTTTGTGTTGATGTCAACACATTTATTTCACTGCATTCACATGTTACAGCAACTGTAAAGTAATCCATTAGCGTTCTGCTTTCTTACAAGTCTGAATTTCTGTAGCGTGCTGGCCTCTCTGGCGAGCCAGGCCTCCACTGTGGCTCGTTTGCTCTGCAGGGTGGTCTCACGCTGGGTGCGCTCAGCTGGAGGCAGCGAAGTCAGGCTGCTGAGCTGAGCTAACGAGGCAAGAAGAAGAAAACAACTCTTTAATACACTCTTCACTGGACATTTTCTGCTACTTTTCTTTCTTATCGACATATAATCTGAGTTTTTAGAGGGAAAAAGTTTCCTAAAACCTCATTTTTGTTATCTCCATGTAGATTAAGATTAGGAGCTGCTTTGAAACATCCACTAACACAGACATTAGCATTTTGTGTCTGAGGAACAAAAAACTGATTTATTTTCAACATCTGTTTAGACTCTTTTCTGATCCAGTCACCATTAAACTTTAATTATGAGCTGAACTCGTTAATAACTGAGTGGTTGACTGTAAACTGTGACACAATATGTAAAAACCATCTAAAACTGTTAGAGAAAAGTCAATCTCAGAACTAATCTCTACACTCACCGGCCACTTTATTAGGTACACCACGCTAGTAACGGGTTGGACCCCCTTTTGCCTTCAGAACTGCCTCAATTCTTCGTGGCATA